GAAAGCTGACGTTTCGGGCCTAGACCCTTCTTCAGAAAAAAGGGTCTAGGCCCGAAACGTCAGCCTTCCTGCTCCTCTGATGCTGCTTGGCCTGCTGTGTTCATCCACCTCTACACCTTGTTATCTCAGATTTTAAGAATGTCAGGCTTTGGGAAGACTTGTACATTAAACTGTTGATTTCATTCAAAGCATAGTGGAGTTGACGATGTAGGTAAGCACAAATTGGCATTTCTGCTTGGATATAAAGCCCATGTGATTCATATTGCCATGGAGATGGGCTTTCAGTAGGAAAGAGTTCATAACAAGACATTGGAGTTTCAGCTTACAGGTTTTCCTAAGGTAACTCTGAAACTCTCAGACACAAAGCAGTCTGCAAGAGTGAGGGAAAGAGCCCTGAAAATAGAGGCAATCAGTCCAGCTTTCCCAATGCTCACCACACAGAATGCAGGTGAGAAGTTGTACACAGATTCAAAAGATCAAGCTTGTGAGATACTGAAGGAGGCTTGAACACCTGGTTACCTTAGACGAGAGAAATTGAATCTTTAGTGTGGACAACACAGCAAAAGGCATTTCTGGGTTTAGAAGATACCCGGTTAAAGAAAAACGCGGGAAACAGTGGCTGGGATTAGCTTTAGGTTCTGGAAGAATTAAGTGTTAAATTCATGAATGAAAAAAGTATAACTGTGGCATGAGATTCACAGTTGTTTCAAAAGCTACTAGTTTAGAACATAAGTAACCTTAATATGGTCTGTCAATACTGTTTTTGCTTTGTTTTGCTTATTAGTTAATTTGTTCCCATAAAAGTCTTAAAACTTGAAATCTTATTGTGTGATCCTTTTCAGTCAGTAACTAGAAATTTAAATACCATTTTAAAAGTTATTAGTGATTCTGGAGATTATTAAAAAAAAGGTATATATTGTTTATGTCAAACGACAAGATGAGAAAATCTAAATCCATATCAGAACAATCGCAGTCTGATTATTCTGGAGTTGGCTTGATTATCAACAAAGCAAGCAAACGAATCTTTAAAATAACTTCTTGAACTGCTTCACCAAATTTTTTAAACCTGTATACTATGAAAAAATATTGAATTGACCATAACTTATTCATAGCTACATTGCTCACAAGTTTAGGTCAACCTGACCATATTATGTATCATTTCCGCCCAAAACGTGCTCCAAATATCTAAACATTGAGGGTAAAAGTAGTGTCTCGAAACAGGTAATTTTCTTGAATATAAAGGATAAACATTGGAGGTAAACTTAAGAGTAATCAAATATTTTTCATTAATTATCTGTCAAATTAAGTTAAAAGATGAAAAAGCTTCAATGAAAACAAGCAATATCATCTCCATTTTAACAATTCTTTTCCCTAATCACTTGTGAAATCACTGACTTATTCTGGAGTTATGGCTCCATTATCGGTTACTTACCAAGGGTGTTATTCTTTACACATGAATGCAGATGGAAAGGCCAACTGCCTGAATGTTAGCGTATTTCTGTACACAAACACAGGTGGCTAGCTGTCAAATAGGAAACAGAAACCTTGGCCGATCTCCCTATCTTAGCCATACTCATGTTGATTTTAGTCTCCCGAATACTGCTGAAGCTGAAATCAATGAATCTGACATACATCGAGATCATACCCCCTCAATATGCACAACCAAACACCACTTTATCTGAAGGCATCTCCAAATGAGTTTTAATATAGCCATAACTATTAATATTTCAACTGAGTTTATTTGATACTGAATAAAAATACATATGATGTTGTATGCACTTACTGGGTCTGTCAACATTGTTCTCAGATGGGATGATAGAGCCAGCACTGCCAGACTATTAAATACAATGCCATTTATCAGTGAGTACCAGTAGTCTTTGGAAGGCAACAGCATTACAAAAGTCACAACAAAGTCGGCGTATAAAACCAGTAGCCAGGTTATGACAGCGCAGACCATTCCACATCCATCACGAATAAACCAAATCCGATCCACCACTTCCACATTTCCGGCCGAGCATTCAAAGTCATCTTCGGAGCTCAGCAGAGGATGATGGTCAACATCCCGGAATCGGTGCCCTGACGACTGCATGATCTGTCAGTCTCATCTATAAAGCCAATTGTGCACAAAAAAAAAAGGCAAGAGCAGAGTATTTGTCAGCGTTTTTACTTGTCTCCTTTCTTGAAAACATTATCTGGCATTTAAGGCATTAACAGTTTTCTTTAAGTTGATCTCCAGTTTAATATTTTAGGAAGTAATGTCATACAATGTATTGCAAATGAAATCCCAATATTTGTTTTAAAATTTAATATACCACATTTCTCCTTCTTACACAGACTTTGTAACTAATGAATTTCTTTGTGCTACATATATATATCAGTCACAGTACAAGACACTTGAAAGTAAATGTCCAAAAATGTGCAATGAGCAATTAAGAAATATTGCTCGTTTACATTTATGGAAAATAAATATAACTGTCGATCAATAAAGCATCGGTGTACCTTCAGCAATATAATTCCAAGACAAGGGTAAACATATTTACTTCATTGGAGCAACTATTAAAATCTTACTGGATTCAAACCTTTCTAATTAAACAGTCCTTGCACTAGCATAACACAAAATCATCTTTGATTGTGTTTTTGTGATCAAGCACAGTAGGTGTTCAACTTTTGGCAGAAGGACACGGGAAAGTAGAAAAACAGGTGAACATCTGAAACCAATTTTGGGGTCAAGAGAACAACGCTATTCTTTCTTCAAAAGGAAACATAGATTTCTACTTTTATCCGTCTTCGTTAGGATGAGATTTATGCTCTGTTGTTGACAGAATTGGAAACTCAATCTTACAAACACTTCTCCCATCCAAGGGCAGTAAATTGGAAAATTTATGCAAGTTAAATATGCTCTGGTGTTAGAAATCCAATCATAGATACTTGTAGCAAGAGGAATATTCTGTTTAACATACACTTGGTGCTCACTCAAAAACAAAAATCTTACTGATATCTTGTAACCTATTCATTTCAGAAATGTTTAGAAAAACAAATTAAAATCTAAGAAGAAATGGAATTTTAAGTTAATTGTTTATTTAATTCATAAGAGCTAAAATGATTTCACCTCTGCATACCAGCATATACCAATTTGATCTAATTTTTTTAAACAAACATTTTACTTGAAATTATTGCTCTCATTCCAACCATCAGTCAATATAAATAGTGCAAGTCTGTGAGAATTAAATTTACCAAGCAACTTTACAGTTAGTAAAGAATAGAACTTTTTTTTTTAAGTACATAATTTATAGGGCTGTTTAGCAAGTCAACACATTAAGAACAATTCTTACCTAAATTCCTCAGGTTTTTCCATGAAGTTTTTCTGAATCAAAACTGCTTTTCTGAATTATTTTGAAAGACCTGCAGAGAATATAAATGACAACTCTTATTCACCATCAATTATTAAACATTTAATCCTCACAGCTGACTAAAACATCTGATCTTATATGAAATCCAGGATCCCATTAAAAAGCATGAACAGCTCTTTCACTTATTGTCTCTATTCAGCTCATGTAGTTTACTCTTAATGCTTAGGGTCTTTGGTCAATAGTTAAGGACTTCTCATTTCTAAGGACATTGTCTTTGCACATGTTCAGACAGATACCTGAAAATTTGCCCTTCAGTCATACAATAATAGAAGTAGAAGTAAAATCAGAAAAGCATGTAAAATTGTGTTTTATCTAATTAGGTTTCTGTGTAAACAAACCGTGGTTTTCATATAAGGTCTTGTTTTAAGCAAAGATGGGAACACTGATGAGAGAAACTGAGTAGCATGTGGTAAAGTGGAGCAATTGGTTAATTGGGGAGAAGTGATAAAATTGACAAGACAATTGGTTATTAGGAGGATTCTATTATTAGCAAACACAGCTGACAATCCACAATCTTAAATGGTATTTGGCATTTCAGCTTTAAAGATTATAGTAATAATATAAGGTGGAAAAGATACACCATTAACCCTATCATACCCTCCAGAAAGGTTGGCTAACCTGCTGAGGTGGAATATTTTAATCTTCACATGTTTGGTGCTCAAAACTGAACAAGTATCCCTGCTAGAGTCTGACCAAGGATCTGTAGAACTTGACAGCAGATCTTCAGTAAAGCAACTCCATCTGCTTCTCCATTCAGCACGGCATAATCTTAAAATTTTAGTGCCTGCACCACAACAGATTTCAAAGATAATTTGAAATCTCACTTCCTTTCAGGTAATAGGGATTTGCTGTCACTGCACAGAGTTCACACTCCAACAGATAAAACAAGTGTTTCAAATGCTACAAACAGCAGTATAAGCTTCTGCATGTTGAATTTCTGTAACAAAGCTGGAAATCTAATCAAAATGCTAGAAATCTAACCTGAGACAGGCAGAGACAAAGACAAGCATTATTGTCATATGATTGAATCAATTGGATTATATGGAGTATGGTTATACTGAAACCAATAATTATACAACAATGAGGATGCCATTTCAACAGAAGCATTAAGGGTAAGAAAATGGTCTTGTTAACACTTACTTCTTGGGTAACATTAATTTGGCTTTGGAGTTTCAATATGCCATCCATGATGCATCCATCCCCGTGGAACTAATGTTAAAGGATGCCATATTGGTGGAGGCCCAGACATTCATGCACTGAATGTTTAATGTTTCCTTGTAGAACATGCAGATTGAGATGTCAATCAGCACAAAACACAGCAGTGAAGCCAGCAGGGCCAATTTGTGACTGCTCCTACTAATAACCACTATTTATCTTGCACTGACTATCACATGCACTCTAGAATCATAGAATCCCTACAGTGTGGAAACAGGCCCTTCGACCCAACAAGTCCACACCGACCCTTGGAGCATCCCACCCAGACCCATCCCCCTAAAACCCACCCATCCCCCTAAAACCCACACATCCCTGAACACTACGGGCAATTTAACATGGCCAATCCACCTAGCCTGCACATCTTTGGACTGTTGGAGGAAACCAGTGCACCCAGAGGAAACCCACACAGACACGGGGAGAATGTGCAAACTCCACACAGATAGTCGCCCAAGGCTGGAATCGAACCCGGGTCCCTGGCGCTATGAGGCTGCAGTGCTAACCACTGAGCCACTGAGCCACCGTGCCGCTCCTCTGTCTCTATGTTACTGAGAACCTCTAGAATTCTCTCAGTGGGGAGCTAGAAGCTCACCATACAGGGCAATGACACAACAAATCCTGATCAAGGGACTGACATCAGGAGGGAGGGAGGTCATTTTATCTCCCTACCCCTACCCCATCCTTGCTGTCAATCATCCTTACTGAATCTCCCTTCCTTGAGCCCTCCTGTCAGACTACACTTGTGTCACTTCCATGGCTGCAGTATTGACCTTGTGGGATGAGGCCCTTTCTTCTTTCTTCTCCCCTGGAGTTTGATTAGGTAGGGAGGGAAGGAGCATTAATTCCAATCATACAGTTTTGGTATTTGATCTGATGGCCGCAACTGTGAAATCAAGTGACAGTGCTGTGGCTTTATCATCACTGTCTTCTTGGTGTTACTTCATTGCCTGGCCAGGTTGTACCTTTTGGATATCTGAAAGGTAAAAAATACAAAGTAAAGCTGCAGTACAGGGAGTAGGTAAGCTAGAGGTGCCACTTACACCATTTGCAGCTTGAAAACCAGAACATCCATTAGGAGAAAGGGTAAGTGAAATATGAAGAGGATTAGGTGTGAGAATACAATCATTTTAAATGGTTTCAGATCTGTCGTTCACTGTGCATTCAGTAGCAGATACGACAATAATGGCTAACAACTTCTCCTCGAGAGGGATTAGGACGTGCAAACTACACTATCCCCCTGTAAATAGAATTTAGGGCCTCCAGTTATATGCCACCTTACCGTCATTGTACATCAGGCAATCTGGTTGATCTGGTTTTTGTGGTTGAATGGCTGTCACTAAGAGATACTTGAGTGTTGTGGGATAGGAGTATTGCGGGATAGGAGTATTGCAGCAATATTAATTGTGCGAGGAAGTGGTGAAGCATACGAATATTAGTGATGAAGCCCAATTGATAAAAATTTACAGTGGGCCAGTGATGAGACTGTGATGAATTAAGGAGTGACCATGGCTAAAATTGGAAATGCTACAATACAGTATTTGAAGATATATTTTATTGACCTTGACCAACTTCTTGCGCCACTTTATCTATATCTTTGGGCTTGACTCCTCATATTGATCTCCAGGACTATCTGTTCCCATTTCTCAATATATCCTCTTACAGCCACAGGATATCTTTCCTCTCCTTTTCCACCAAAATCTCAACTGCTGCATGTAAAAATCCTTACAGCCTGCTTTCTTTCCCTTTTTGTAATACTTATTCTATTCCATGTCAGATCCTCTTTCACAATGATGAGCACCAACTCCAGCTACAATGCACCTCCTCATTAAGAAGTACAGACTAGCTTTTAAGTGCTGTTAACAATTCAATATTGGCTTCATGCTAATGCAGTTTAGTTAAAAGTGGCTACAGGCTGCTTTAAAGATAATGTCTACCATGGTCTCATGCCTTTTCTCCAAGGGCTATTCAATTTAGCACCTACAATATTCTTCCATAATCGTTTTCATTGTAGTTATTTGCTAATAACAACCTGCTAAAAAAATTGGGCATTAACTTCAAGTGAAAGATTGTGGGCTTCGCTGGCTGGGCGATACTGTTTGGGAGTGAGATCCAGGTCTACAACCCAGCGACAGTGAAGGAACGGTGATCTATTTCCAAGTCAGGATGTTATGCGGCTTGGAAGGGAACATGCAGGTGATGGTGCTCCCATGCATCTGCTGCCCTTGTTCTTCTACATGGCAATGGTCGTGGGTTTGGAAGGTGCTATTAAAGGAGCGTTGGCTAATTTCTGCAGTGCATCTTGCGGATAGTAAACACTGCTGCTGATGTGAGTCAGTTGTGGAGGAAATCATTGTTTAATCGTGTGGTGCCAATCAAGAGGGCTACTCTTTTCTGGATGATGTCAAGCTTCTTGAGCGTTGTTGGAGCTGCACTCATCTAAACAAGTCGAGAATATTTTAATCACACTTCTGACTTGTAAATTATGGACTGGTTTTGGGGAGTCAGGAGGTGAATCCTAGAATCCCTGCAAGAATCCTAGCCTCTGATCTGCTCGTGTAGCCACAGTATTTCGATGGCAAGTACAGTTTACTTCCTGGTCAATAATAACCCAAGGATGTTAATAGTGGGGATTGAGTGATGGTAATGTCAAGAGGCAATGACTGGATTCTCTCTTGTTGGAATACTGTTAAGGAATGTTCTTGCACTAATGAAAGAAACAAATATGATTAGTCATCTATATACAGTGGAAAGAAATATTGATTTTCTTTTCCCTTCTGCTTAGACAGCAGATATAATTTCAAATTCAATCTGCCACCACTGGCCATTTTCAAGCAACCTTTTAATGTACTCAGATTGAGACTACAACGACGCAAGGATGAAAGTTTGCAATCCTTATGGTTTTCTTAATTAGAATTTATACAATTTATAATTTCAAGTCTGTATTAAGTCTGGAAAGCTGCAAAGAGAAAAATGGCTTTGGTCCAAACAATATTAGGTTTATGCAGATTACATTATGAAATATGATTAGATTCATCAGAGATAGAATTAGGATCCATTCTAAAACTCCCAACATTGTGAAACTTAAGCTGTGGTTCTCTGGCCAGCAATGTAGACACTGCAGCTGTGTATACATGCTTGGTTGTGGTGCTCCATTTGCTGCTCAAATACTTGTTAAATATTTAACGTTAGCAAATAGCTGATGGAACAGTTGGCCCTTTGCCAATTGTCAAGGTTAAAATAATAGTTAAAATTTTGGCTGCCAGTATCATTTTAAAATTTTACTGTTATAGTGAAGCTGATGCAAATTTAAGAGGTAAAGGTTTGCCGCACAATATATGTAATGAGGCTGCATTGGTTGCTCAGGCTCATTGCCCCTAAAATTTTTAGATTTGATAATTAAATGCAATGCTTTTATGGGGCTTCAAAAGTCAAGCATGTAACATGGATGAGATTCATGCATAAAGCAAATGAGGTGGGTTCTTGTCCTGGAAGCACCACTGACGAATAAACTAGGTTCCAGCAGATTTTATGGCTACATTCTTCACTGACTGCCCACAAATCACCAGATTGGTTCGATTCTCTGTACTACAGTGGGGTTTTAACTCGTGACTCATGATTGCCAGTCCAATACCATAATCAATAACTTACAAAATTCTTTTAGGAGGAAGTCTACGAATACAGATCAAAAACTCTTCAGACTGCCACTGTGTGTGTAGCATAAAAACCTAAAGAACTGTGGATGCTAGAAATCAGAAACACAAACAGAAATTGCTGGAAAGGCTCAGCAGTTCTAGCAGCTTCTGCAGATAGAAATCAGAGTTAACATTTCCGGTCAGTGACCCTTCCTAAGCATGTCAGGTTCCATTTTCAGCATTGCAGCCTAAAAAATCATGCATGAGTTTGTTTTAAATATACAGTTCCAGAAGTAATCCCCGTTAACCTACTTTTTGCTAGACACATTTCCATTTTTTTCACTTGTTTTGACTATAGAATTACTAAATATAATTTTTTTTACAGACATTATTTCTCAGCTGTTCTCAGGCAAAATTCTAGTAGCTTCCAGAGATGTGATATAAAAAATGTAATCACCACATAAGTGAATTACAAAGCATAAATTCCACATTCAGGATCATGCAGGTTAATCTTAGACAGCAATAAATAATGTAAAGATTAACATGAAGAGCAATCACACTTAAATTCTATGAGTTTGCTTAAAGTTTATATCAATTATAGTTCCAAATTAAAATTTTTCTCAAAATTATACAAATCCTGTATTTTCTCAAATATATTCCAGTGAGCTACTCACTTTTAATTCATTTTGCACTGTAGACATCTAATGTTCATGTTCACTTCTGCCTCAGCATTTAAACTGCTCCTCACTGCCAATAGTCTTATCCACTCAAATTTGCCCTCAGCCACTGGAGATTAGTGGGAGAGAAAAGAACACTGACCAATTTTTCTGTGAAACATAAGGAGCTGAAATTAGGTTGAAGACCAAAATAAGATGCAAGTCTGAAACTTAATTTGGACTGTCAATGATTAATGCATTAGATTTAAGCTAATTTAGAATTTCAAACATCTTCAGTTTACCTGAAGCACTGACTATTCGTTCCACCAAATTAGCTAGTGTCTAGAACTGAGGGCACAGTGCTGCAATAATTTTAGTTCATGACACCCGTGACCAATATTACACAATTTCTTTTTCCTAGCCGGCTACTTATATGTTCTATGGTACATTTCATTGTTGATCACAGAACTGGACAATCTACAAATCCATTTTCCTCACAATGATGTGCTCTACTTCCAATCTCCCTATTGCAATATATTATGGCGATACAAACTTGTCATTCATTCTCAGGATGTGTGGCATTGGCAAGGCCAGCATTTGTTGCCAATTTCTGGATGAACTGACAACCGACTTCTGTTACAACCACGTGAGGCAGATGAATCACCTTCCCTCTTTAAAAGCTCCTCAGTTGGTTACAACCAATAACATTTTTAAGTACACAGCTATCACACTTCAAACATAGCCCACTAGAAAAATGAAGAAAACAATTGCTATCGTCTCACTGAATGAAAAGAAGAGAAATTTTATAACCGACTGACAGCAAGAAAAAAAAATAAAAATGTGACATCAAACCCACATGAACATGAGTGATAAGTTTAAAAGGAACTAGGTCTGGTGCTGACAGTGAAAATTAAGACCATGTTGTTTCAAAGTCCTTAGGGTCTTTGAGATGTTAAAGGCTACACTTGGTTAATTATTGACATATATCCACAGCTGTAGCAGAATCTGTTGATATCTTAATTAATGGTTGCTTCCTGAGTTTTTTTTTGTCACCAGGCACTATTTTTCCAAGATTCTGAGAGATCAGGCAGGGACAGCGAGAAAACAAATCACCAGATTCCGTTATAAATAACAGAAGATCCTTCTGAAGAAGGGTCCCGACCCGAAACGTCAACTTTCCCGCTGCTCTGATGCTGCCTGGCCTGCTGTGCTCCTCCAGCTCCACACTGTGTTATGTGACTCCAGCATCGGCAGTTCTTACTATCTCTTACAGGTTCTGTAGTTATGGATCCACGTGCTTCTCTCTGCTCTGCTGCTTAAGTGTTGAAATATACTTCAACATATATTCTGGAATCTAGCTTCACTGTCTTTCCAAATGGCTAACTGTCAGACAAGCCTTTCATCTCCCAAAATGCAAAACTATCATGCTTGTGGAAATTAAACAGGAGATGCAAAATTTATGATGCCAACTTAGTTGACTGGTTTCAATATCTTTATATAAATATGATAATTTCAATGCAGATATCTTTGTTTACTCCACACAGGTGTCTCAAAGATTACCACAATTTGCAGTCAAATGACTACAGTCGTCATTTTCGGTCCATGCTTCTTACTTGTAAAAAAATTTCAATCCATGAAAGGAATCAGTTATAACAATTAAGTGATGCATAATACAAGAATCCACA